AAAAATATAATCCCATTTAAAAGTTTATTGTAAGGAACAGTAAATAAAAGTGTGACAACATGTATATGGCTGTAGTTAAGATTTAATGTTACTTACAAAATTTTACTTTACAATTAGATTGTGTTATGGGAGATGATATACCACATTTGCTCATGTAATGAATATATTTTCATACATTTAAAAGCATAGAATCCTGTTTTAGCCAGGGTCCATGATTAGCCTAGACTGAGTCTTGTATTCCAGTTAAAGTTACTGGGATGTAATAGGGCTGCACTGGATGGCATGTAGTTGTAGCCGGTAGTGTGGAATGTGTAGTTCTCACTAGTATTGTGGTATACCGTAGCTGTAGTTATTGCTGTGGTATCCTGTAATTAATAATTGGAGATGCTAGTAGACCTTGAGACTGGGTTATATCCTGACATCTGAGAAATGGAATTTAGTGTAAGTCTGAGAACCTAGCTACCAGTGTACATCAGCAAAGCATAACCATTGACACACAAGTACTGGGACTGCGTTCTTCATTTCACATTATCCATGTTTTTTTTTTTTTTATTGCTAGTGGGGTGGGACTAAGTCCCTTGTACTGCGGCCACTTCTGGCCTATTGTACCAGCCCCAGATGATATGTGAGGGTGATTATAGAGCAATTGGTGGAATGAAGATTGGCAGGGCAAACCAAAGTACTCGGAGAAAACCTGCCCCAGTGCCATTATGTCCACCACAAGTCCCACTTGAACAGACCCAGGATCGAACTCGGGCCGCCGTGGTGGGAAGCCAGCGACTAACCACTTGAGCTATGACGTGACCCCATTATCCATGTTAAATGATGCTGATCATGACCAAATGCATGAAGAGAACACCTGATCTCCAGATTCATTAGAATGGAAGCAGACATTTCTGTGAAGCACTGGTCATCGATTGCACACTGACATGGGGGTTTGTCCAAGGAGGTTTTGTTTGTAGGAATTGAGATGGGTTGCAGGCGTGTTGGAAGTTGAACACATGAATCCGTGGTTTTGTTGTCTTCTGCTGCATGCAGTCTTTCTGGACCAGTGTGGCAAGACATTGAATTATTTGTTTTTATGCATTTAACGAAATGTGGTAACAGCAGTTCAGTCTAGTATCTCATGGATGTATGGTGCTGTTTGTTAAAATGTTTCTGTCCAGATATGCCTATGCATAACTTGGTGCCCAAGTTGCAATGACACTGACATGAAAGGTAAGTGAAATATATGGAATTCTTATTTGGAGGTCAGTCTTTGCTGTAAGGATGCATGTACTATTATGTACCATTTGGATTGAAATAAGGCTTAAAGCCCATGTTGGACTCTACCTCATCCCAGTTTTCACCCTGTGTATTTTGTAATAGTTTCTGGACTTCTGTTGATTATCTGTGCGTGAAGTTTGTTCCTTGTGTTTTTGTCATTAATGTGTAATGTACTGTTTTATAGGATTTGGTTTGTTTTCAGACTCCTCTTAAGTTAAATCCTGTCCTCGTAATCATTTTCAAATTGGTTCTGTATACTTCCCCCCAGAATTTGTTATCATTTCACCATCTCTTCATATTTGTGTGCACTTTGGGTTTGCAGCATTAAAATTTGTAATGGGCTGTCAGCTGTAGCAGCATAGCAATGTCAGGCAATGAGTTGAGTGAATATACTGAGATTATACTTCGAGGAGACTTCGTCTGAGGCTACTAAAATCAGAATAGAATTATCTATTTCGGTTGTGATCAGCATAAGAGTCCATTTTAATGAAGTGGATTTGCAATAAGAACTGTAATATTTTTAAGACCTATATTTATATATTCTATATGGCGTAATAAAACATGTTGTTAGTAGATTCCAGAGAATTGCATCCATGAAGATCTTATAATATAATATTAATCTTATTAATCTAATAATAGTTTTTTCTGTCATCATCATCAATAGATAAAACATGTTTTCGCCCACTCAAACACTCGGATTGTAAGTCCGAATCCCCCTTGTGGCATGAATGTCTGTAATTGTAATTGCAATTGTAATTGTAATTTATTTTGAGTTCCAGATGATCCAATAAAACTGGTTACAAACCATAGGATATAGAATATGTCAAATATTAATTAAAATATGTCAAGATTAGGAGAAGAACATAAAAGTACAATACAATCATAAGTACAGATCAGGTTCAAGTTGAGCTCAAGTAAATAATTAGAACATGTCAAAATTATAAAGCAATAAAATAAATAATATAAAAGACAGTAAGTATTATTGTANTATATTATACAGACAGATTATACAGATAATGGAGGCCTTGGTAGGAACAGAGTTTTTGGTTATAAATTGCATAGTAAAAGTCTTCAAAAGATTGATTGATAACAAATTTGATGTGTGTATATTCTCTGTGTCGTTCTGTGTGTAGGCAGTGGCCTTGCGGCAGGCTGATCCAATGTCCAAGGAGTCCTTCTGACTGTGTATAGATTAAGAAACTGAAAAACTGGCCAAGGTCCACAAGGGATGTAGAGCCATACGCAGATATCACGGTTATACCACCATATACAATATATCACCCACAGTTAACTTATTAGTCATGGCTAACAAAATTTCATTTATTAATTTGAAAGAAGCCAATGCTGTTGATGAATTACTGCTGAACCCACACTGTTCATTTAAGGGTATATCATTTTAATTTTAATTCGGGGCCCTGGCCTCTTATTTAGTTATGTAATCATTTTTTGCAGATGGTAGGACTCCTTTGGTGAGTGATGAGCTCATTGCAAGGCCTCTGTCTAAACACTGGTACACACTACTAGTTAAGCCATACGTTTTTTTAAAGGGCCTAGAAACTATACTGAATCCAACATATAGTGTTAATGTAACACTGTGTGTTAGATTCAGTAGATTCACAGTAAGAGATCTGTAAATAGATATTATTAGAATTGTTATTGAATATGTTGAGGTTGAAGCAACTGGCTGGGTGGTCTAGGTATGCAGCCTCAGGTCACACCAAGTAGGAAATGCCATTTCCACCATTTCTCTGGTAGCATCATGTATTCACTGCCACAGAATCGTGCATATCGGCCATTACCTATCAACGGTCATCTCCTCTGGCTGTACTATTCCAGTTTTCAGCTGCCTTGTAATAATTATATTATGTGGAGATTTCAGTGTCCCAAAAATTCTGTTGCACTATAGACATCACATTTTTCACTCCTGGAGTACACATTCCTTGTCATTACCATAGACATTTAGCTTTTATGCATAAGGCAGCATTATTCCCCGTCAGTTGGACAGTGTTTATGCTTGCTCAGGAGGCTCCAGAGTTCCATGTACTCTGAAGCGATAAAGGCATGTATAACTTTCTTTACCATGATTGTTGTATATCTTGAGCTCAATGAAGCGAAACGGAATTGCTGCTGGTTCCTGATATGAAAAGAAATGGTACAGATTATAAACAGAAAATGTCATCACTTACATAAAAATGTCTTATTAATTCTGTTAACTGTATTGCTCAGTGTGTTACCGGAATTGTAAAGTGCTGCAGAGGGCTGCTATCGATATCATAGGAGAAACTCCCAAGGTATTGTCCTTCGTCATCAAGGCTATTTAATCCCTGTGGATAAATTATGTTTATTAGTTCAGTCATTATTATTGAATATAATATAGTATTAAAAGAAAAAAATCAACAAATTCTTATGAAGAGGATCTGATGTGGGCGAGAAGAAATGCCTGTAGGGTTTTGGTAGGAAAGCCAAAGGAATAGGCATAACTAGGAAAATCTAGATGTAGCTGGGAGATATACTACATCTTAGATAGGAAGAGGTGGCATGGACAGGATTTATCTGTCTCAGGATTGGGACGGCTGGAGGGCTCTTGAGAACATGTAATGAACTTTTGGGTTCCATAAAATGTTAGGAAATTCTTGAGTAGCTGCACAACTGGAGGATTCTCACATTAATTCTGTATAAAGAGGCTTCAGTTGTGCCCAACATTTGTATGGAAAAGGCCTTATATACACGGTTAGCCTAAAAGAAATAGACAGCTTAAATGCTTTATGAATTAAAATTACGACCTCCGTTTTTTGATTGTCTTCGCGACGTCAGAATCACGTGGTGCACCCTAAACGTATGTCGAGCAGTGTGGCCGCCAATAAAGTGTAGAAGAGTTATTGCGTCATTGAACTTGGAGAAACAAATCCTGTTATTGTCGTGCCACATCGTTTTAGAACACGGTATGGTAAGCAACCACCCACAAGACAGACAATCTACGATTGGAGCAAGAAATCTAATGAAACTGGTTGCCTGTGCAAGGAGAAAAGTCCTGGGAGACCACCTGTATCGGAGGAAACAGTGACTCGTGTTCATGAAATTTACACGCGCAGCCCAAAAAAGTCGACAACACGTGCAAGTGTAGAACTTCAAGTTCCACAAAAGACTGTGTGGAATATCTTGCGTAAATGTTTACGAATGTTCCCTTACCGTTTGCAATTATTGCATAACCTCACTGAAAATGACAAAATCCTCCGTCATTCATTCAGTATGGACATGCAGCAATGGAATGAAGGCAGTACTGATTTCTTTAATTAGCTAGTTTTCCGTGACGAATTGATGTTCCACGTTAGTGGTAGGGTGAAAAAGAAAACATTCGTATATGGGGAACTAAAAACCCGAGAGCTGTAGTAGAGCATGTGAGGGATTCACGTAAAGTGAACGTTTTTGTGCTGTATCCCATAAAAAAGTGTATGGACCATTCTTTTTCCAGGAAAAACAGTGCTTAGAATAACCTACCTAGACATGCTACATGAGTGGCTGGTGCCCCAACTACAAGAAGACAATGACAATTTCATATTTGTCCAAGTTGGCGCTCCGCCACACTGGCACCATGAAGTTTGAGATTACCTGGATGAAAAATTGCCCTGGCGTCGGATTGGACGTCCAGCCGCCCAGAACCAAGAAGTCCGTATTTAACACCCTGTGACTACTTCTTATGGGGCTAAATAAAGGACAGAGTTTATGTTCCTCCCCTCCCTACAAGTGTGGATGATCTTAACGCATCACAGTAGCTGCTGCAACTGTTGACGTGGGCATGCTGAGAAGCATTTGTGAAGAACTAGACTATCACATTGATATTTGTCATGTTACAAAATGGTCACGTATAGAACATTTGTAACTTACCCATGTAAACTTCAGGGCGTACTTTTCAAACCATGTAAGTATCTTGGCCATGCTATTACAACTCTTCTTTCTGCAAAACTTTGAAAGTGTCTATTTCTTGTAGGCTAACCCTGTATAACTAGAAAAACCATATAAAGACACTTACCCATACAGAGAAATCCTTTGGTGCGCTCTTTATTAATCCTGGGAGCAACTGGGAACGTGAAGTATGCTCGACAGAGACTGCTTTAACGTTCACCTTACCAATCAATTGAATCACAACAGCACCTGAACCATCAAATGCCCAGCACTCACCTGGCATGGTACAAGGCTGTAATATTTAGACAGAAACATTATCCCAGTATATGCAGTAACTCACCAAAGAACATGAATGGAAAAATGAAATCTTGGAGGAATTCTGTGGCAGAGTAAACATCATGAATTTGTGCAATATTTTTCATAACGCTTCTGGATTCATCATCACCATGCTTTTTGTCCTCTTACTGTCCCAGTACTCTGTTGCTTGTTGAAAAACTTGGGGTGTTACATTTGTCTCCACTTCCTAGAATCTTTCTTGAATTTCCTTCCAAACTTCTCTCTTTAGGTAAGTGTTTTCTCTTTACATCTTTTGCATATGTTTCAGCCCATAAGGCCAGCACCAGATGCATTAGACATGGAACATCAGGTTTAAGTGATATTGTCCAATAGAAGTGACAGAAATTAACCATGGCATTCTCTGAGCTATCTTGATTACAATTTCATTCTGATGATGGGGAATGCAGTAGCATAGTTGGTTGAGGAACTGTGCTATAAACGGTCGAGTCCCAATGATGTGGATTTTTTTTTTTTCAATTTACCTATTTACCTACCCTTCCAGTTGCACTGTGGCCCTGGGGTCGACAGAAATGAATACCAGGAGTCTTCTTGGGGGGGGGAAGCCAACTGTCTATAGAAAATGTGGGAGCCTTGACATCTCACAACCCTATAGGCCTTCGTGGCCTGTTGCACGGATAGCTTTACCTGTTACTTTATTAGCTTGAGATTAACTTCTCACACTAATAAGTTTATGGTGGGTACAGAAAAGAGTACTGTGAAATTAGAACCTCTGTTTTGACTGATATTCAGGCACTAAAGACTGACATATGACACACACATCCAACGATGCAATGCACGCAGCCACAAGAGTAGAACCCATCATAAGACACAATGTACACACAACATTAGAAATATAAGAAGAACGACCCCCATGTGGATGATTAATAATACACGCGAATTTTAAAAATATGACGTATAGGATAATAAGTTTAAAATACATGAACTTTATTGTTGTGTGGGGATGTATACAAATTTAGTACTGTTTGTAAATGGACATATAAAGGCAAGCAGTGAAGTGGTTAATGGATCGATACACCTGAAGATGGCAGCATACTGCCAAACATGTAGTGTAGAAGTGGTAGATGGGATTGTATGCACTTGAAGACTGTTAATATATACACATTATGAATATGAATCAGTGCAACAGGATGCTAAAATACAACATAGCAATTGTGAAGTACAACTTGAAAGAAGTATGTGTGTCATCCATGTAACTACTATAGTTGTATATAGTTTACATACCTCAAGGATTTGCTGTGCTGCACGGTTCCCAGTTTCACTTGGTGAAGACACATGGTTCTTGGTATCGCGTGTAGATACTATAGAACCACCTGCAGTCATGAGATGAAAGTAGACTTTAATATGCACCAAATATTTCTTTTAGCAAATCATTAGATTTGTTTCTTGGAAGAAGAGGCACAAAGGGAAGTATGTATGTGATTCTTTGATAACTCTCAGACCTGACAAGTTATTTTCAGGAGAGACTGTATGACAATCGTGTTAATTAGAGGTCATCTGTATGTCTTTTTTTTTTCTTACGTTCCCTCCCTTCGTAAGTGTGTACTTTTGAAATGTGTATGGAGGCTGCATCATTCAGCATCAAGTAACTGATGGACTGATTACTTACCTAAATTGCCAGTTAATTCTCTAATTAATTATTCAACACCCAGGTGCAGTCTCTTCTCTAACAAGTTAACAGATATTCAGCTGTTCACGTGATTTCCTGTCATATGAAACACAACAGCCGATTTCTGTCAGAAGCGCAATCGTAAACTAAGGTGTATCAGTTTACACTTAATTTATTTGTACCATATTCTGTAAGGTTTATTTCAGCATTGACCTTCCCTGTCTGTCTTGGTACAACATTTGGTCTCTTTGCATTAAAGATGTTGAGTGTACTTTCGTCTTTCAGCATTTGTATTTTCTCTTGAAAGGTTTCACTTCTGGCTAGAATTTGGCATCACTGAAAGTTCTTCAGTCTCTGATTTGTGTGGTTCTTTCTCAATTTTAGCCATTGGAAACGTTATGACGAGGCTATGAACCGACTAGTATTATTTTTAACTTAATTTTCTGAATAGGAAAGCAAGCGAAAATTATGTTGGTCATAGGCACAGAACTCTGTAAATTCATTGTTACCCAGACAATTCATAAGTCATCTGAAAGTCTTATTTTCTGCTGGAATGACCATAATTATAGAAGAATGGTATCTTCTGGAACATAAAGCATCATAATTCAGTACAAGTCCATCAGTATATTGGTGGAATGTACTGCCCCCATCTTAAAGATTTGAGACTGTCCGAGCAAAAAAAAAAAAAAAACTATCAAGAAGGGGGCAGCAAGCTCTGCTTCTCACTGGTTTCTTGCTCCTGCTGAAATAGATGGCATTACATCAGAGAAGGTAGCACTCCTCATAGTCACAGATGTGAGAACCTCAAATTCAGCCACAATTATTGTCCGTGTGTTGAAACTGGAATATAGGTCACAAATCATAAAAATGTAATTTTCATTTATACTTAAGTACTTCAGCAAAAAGACTTACCTAAACTTCCCATGGCATAGTCAATTTGTCCTGTCTTAGTGACATCATAAAATTGACCTGCATCTTTCACAATCTTCTTAGAAGTATTGTCCAAGTTGCTGAGAATTTCATGTGAAGTTCCTGTAAATAAATAATAGAGATGTTATGAACTACCATCAGAAATTTACTTTTATAAAACTGAAATTTCTTTATTAGAGTCCGTCACAACACAACAATATAAAGGTCAAGCCTGAAATTCGCTTGGCTACGTGCTTGAGCTCATGAAGCCATCATCAGGCAAAGACATGATTACTATATTCACACACTACTGAACTGCAATTGTGGTGGTAAAGCTGAATACTGTCAAGTAAATATTAACACAACAGGGTGGATGAAATGAAAATTTTATAAACTGCATTGCACAATTGACACTGTAAACCAAGTTCAGTGACTTGTTGTTGATGCAGTTAAGTTAAATGGTCATTTCAATCTTCTGTTTTCCATTTAAAACACAAAACGGTTTTTCCTCCGTGCAAATATAGGGAGTCAGGATAGCAACTGAATATGGGCCGGACAGTTGAGTGATCGAAGTTTTAGCTCTGGTAGGTTCAAGAATTTTCTCTCCTGTAAAGCGTTCAGACCGGTTCTGGGGCCCACCAACACTATCCAATGGGTACCCTGGGCTGCTTCCCTGTGTGCAAAATGGCCAACGCTTGAAGCTGACGACACCTCAAACTTGTGCTGAGGTCGCAAAACGTCGATTTACATATCCACGCCCCACAAACATGGGGTGTGGATATATAAAATATATAAGCATAGGGCTTAATTAGTTAAGCACAGAGCCAACTTTACCTTTTCTTTTAACCTCAAGACAAATGTTAAATAGGCATTTTAATGCAGTGCATAAATTATGCCTGTATTAATCATTTGTCTCAGCAATCTTAAATAATAATTTCTGTAAATTCGGTATTTATAACATGCAAGGAGATTAAGACATGCATATATATCCTATTCCTCATAGCCAATCTGCTGTAATCTTAAACTTTCAGGTTGATGCACTATGTTTTAGAGCTGTCATCGTTTTAATCACAATAATTTTTCATAGGTGTTATTTCAGAAAATGCCGGCAGANATGTTATTTCAGAAAAACCCTGTATAGCATTTCCATGTGGCTGAAAGTTTGATGCCTGCTAATTTGTTACAGATGAATATCGTAGCATACTGATACCCAGTAGGTTAGTGAGACATGAGCCATGGCCTTGAGATGTGCCACAACTCTTTCATCATTGTTATGGGCTCGAAGTAAACATTCTCTTTGTCTCTTATGCACTGAGATCTGAGTAACCATTTTTCTTTCTTGCTATAGTACAGATATGAAAATACATGAAAAAAAAAAAAGATACTTTTGTGATTTTTTACCCTCCCACAAGAGTGACTCTGACAAATGCAATTTTCCTGGTAACCCCATGTAGTCTGGCAGAAGTTAACTGATATTCCACTGAAATGCTAGCAAATTTAACAGCCTGTGGTGTCACATCCCAGAAGACACTAATCTTCATCAAAAGTAACAATTTAGTTAGTTAAAATAATATTTTGTTATGCCTTACACATACCAACTCCTGTATCCAGTTCTTGTAGTAGATCTGCGAGAGCCAGCTGAAAGCTTGGTATTTGTGTCTGAAAATATAGACGCACCAATATAAGTATTTAAAGTTACATTATCTATTTTTTTCTATTAAATGAAGTGCAGATGTTCATGGAACAGCTCTCTGGCCTTTCACAAAACCTGGTTCATTATTAATATGCAGTACTGTACAACCATAACACCCTCCGTATTAGTTACCACTGGTAGTGAATATTCTTGATAAGACATGTTTCTTCCCTCTCTGTGGTGTCAAAATATACTTGTATGCCACCTGTCTGTGATATGTGACAATTAAAACGTATTGACTTTTTGGTGTTATACCTTTAGCAGATTTAAAATCTGTGATTATTTTTTAAATTAACATCTGAACACATTGCTGCAAAGTTTTAAAGCGTACAAATTCCATGCAAGGAAACTGGAGAAGACTGCGTAATCTCATCACCCTTGAGTCATACTTCTAACCCCCACCTTGTGTGACATATTCTTCCTTCATTTCCACTTTCATGTTGTTTGTTTAATCTTGTGAAATTACACAAAATATTTTGTACAAACCCACAGAAGGAACATATTCAAAATGTGAATTATACCAGTCTAACCATCAGTAATGGTAACCACTAGCAGTAGCAACTCATCGCTATTTCTTGTTTTAGGTGGCAAACAATTTTGCAGTCTAATGACAGAATTACTTAAAAATTACTTCCAGTGAGAATTCATACCAGCTATTCCCATTGCTCTACTACTGCACTACTACTATGCATTTCACAGTTTAAAATAACTGACATAATATAATTTTTTGTTTTCTGTAGGTAACCATAGTTCTCAGAATTCAGAATGGTTATATGAATTAATATAACGATAAAATATACTCGTAAAGCTTTAACAAGAATAGATGCATACTCACATTTCACGAATAATATTCTGAACGTTTCTGTCTTTGAAACTTTGTGTTCACAGATTTTTTAAATTGGAAAAATAAAAAATACACTAACATGGCATGTAAGCCCAGTGGTCTAATACACACACTGTTTACTCATTATCCTGTGATAATATACCATTTTATTTCCATCTATTTTTGAAAAATTGTTGTGTTTTGAATATTACTGATGATGATTGACTGTGTGTAGAACACAGCGATTCATAAAAAAGGGCATGCACATGCATGCACACACACACAGAGTATGTGATTACATTCAGCTTTAGTAAATCATTTGCCAGTTGCCTTCACACATATACTCACAGAGAGCTCTGTTCTGAGGAACTGTATATCTTCCCTGAGGACAGCAACCTCCTTTGCAATGTCGCTGGTGGTAGGCCCATGATCCACACATAAATATGTTATTCCTAGCAATGGAATAAAGATGCAAAACGATTTAAATGTATGAGAGAAATAACATATGTTAATAAATAAGAACTTAAGCATTAGTAACATGGAATTGAAAGATCATGGGCGTATGTTTGGTAGATGTCAGACAATTCATTTATGTAAATCCTTGAGGACCATAATCTAGATTCTGAAGATATGAGGTGCAGTCAGAGTGAAATGCCTTCTGCCCTTGTTC